CAGTGGAGCTGCAAGGCCGGCGGCGGCGGCCGGGACCGTTGGGAGCGGGGTGTGTGGCCTTATGACACACTTCCGGTGATGTCAGGGGGTGTGGCATATGCTAATGAGTTATGCTAATGAGTTCCCCTAGCTCTTTTTCTACGAAACGACCCCTGATTACCGATCATGAGGTGGGAGCATACATGGATACAGTTCCTCTGCACATTTGCACCATGCAGAGTTTCCAGCAATTTTGTGGTTGGGGTCAGTGTACTTGTGCTTGCTCTTCCTCCCTGGGTGGTGAGTCAATGCATGGGGGGGGAGAGAAATAACCTGCAGAGGTCTACTAGGTCAGACCACTGATCCATTAAGATCAACAGTGTCTACTCTGACAAGCAATAGCTCTCCAGGGTCTCCGGCAGAGGTCTTTTGCATCACTTACTACATGATAGTTTTAACTGGAGATGTCGGGGATTGAACCTGGAATCTTCTGCATGCAAAGCAGATGCTCTACCACTGAGCCACAGCCACTCCAGAACCCCAGCAACTGTCTAATTCTTATCTCATGGTTGTATTGAAAGGATATAGGGAAGGCCGAGTAAAATCTCAGAATCTCATCAAGTTGGGTTGGGGGGGAGTAGCATTATTGTTGGATCAAAGGTTGCAATTTCAACCGCCTACACAGCTTTCTGTTTCTCTTCACAATTAGCGTAAGAGTTAAACAAATTAGGCAGAATAAACAAACATAGGCACATGTGATTAATCTTCATAAATCTAAATACGTATTAAATATTCAGCTTCCCTCGATGAAAAATAATTGATGGTTTTTGCTGCTTATGGTCTCTTTATAGAGACGGATAATGTATCACACGTAGGGCATGCAAGAATAAATAAGCAAGCATCACTAGCCCCAAATGCAACTTTAGGCTACAGATTTAACCAGCTCAGAGCAAATTATGCCTGTTTGAACTGAACTAGAACCAGGCAAATGGTTTTCAACCCCATTTCTCTGGTATTTTCATTACGTTGCTGATGGATGCCACCCCACTGCCAGAACAGCCCACTTAATCAGCCTGAATTAGAGATGCCGTCAATAGTTGTACTCCAGAGCACTGGCATCAGCAGTTTGTAATGTTCAATACAAAGCTTTGAATTCTACCCTGACTTGGATTGTATATCTTGATTACAGACAACTTTCATTGCCTGTTCCTCCCGCCCCTTCTCACCTTGTGGTCTTGACTGCAGCTGCCAACAACTGGCAAAAGAAGCCCTTAAGGCCTCCCTGTTCCCTTTCCTATAGCACCACACACGCTGTTTGAGGCACCCTGGGAAACGTAGTCCCCAGATGGCTGACATTAGATACCATTTGCGGCCACCACACAAAATGGGGAGAGAGAAGGTAAGGTCAAAAGGTGGGAATCCTGAGTAATTCAGAGCTTGGAACAGGGCTCAGAAACAGCATGGCAATTTGCTGGTATTTTGGCTTTCCCAAATCCAATTCCATGGGTGGGTGGGGGAGATGACACTCAAAAGTAGTATTTACTGACTATCATGTCTTCCTTCTGCTTTTGCTTTGCCAAGGACTAGTATATTCAGATTACAGATCTGAATAACTGTTTTTTTTTCCCTTCCTGGGGAGAGCAGCCGTTCTTTGCTTTTTTGTCCTAGTAGCCTTTGACATCTAGCACCACCTAACATAAGTAAGTCTGCATAGCACCTCCTTCATCTTATGATTTATATGAATTGCAGATTGGAAGGTGTGGGGTTTTTCCCCATTATGCCCAACAATGTATTTCTCTCTCTCTGACACCTCTTTTTTTTATTCTCCTTCATATCCAGCTGGAGAAGAGTTCTGGTGAAATCAAACGCTTGCTCCTTGCTGTATGGGGTTGTGAAGACATGAAGCTGCCTTATGCAGTCAGACTACTGGCCTATGAAGGTCAGCACTATCTACTCTGATTGGTACTGTTCTCCCAACATCTTAAGATGAGGTCTTTTATATCACCTGCTGCCTGCTCTGTTTTTAACTGAAGATGCTACGGATTGAACCTGGGACCTTCTGTATCCTGCGAAGATGCCACTGAACCATGGCCCCACTCTATTTTACTGGCTCTGAAAAAGGTTATTATCTTACTGTTATTTCTGGATTTTTCTTTCTGTTGTTAACCAGTGCCCAGGAACTTCTCCATAGAAAATCACCAATATTGCTGGACTGCACATTTCAGAACTAGTGCGCCAACTGGGAATTAACCTTATCTCTGGAGGTGGGGCAGGGAGACCAAACACCTTCCTACAAAAATATTTCAGCCTTTTCTGATTAGTGACAGAACAGAAATCAAAGCCACACGCTAACTACCCTTGGGGCCTAAAGGTGTTTACTTGCAAGTAAGAACCATTCAGCTCAATGACATTTAGTCTCTGGTAAGTGTAACAGAATCACAGCTAGCTCCACTGTGTTCTATTCAGGGTCTTGATGCTTTGCCTGCCATCCTGAACTCCTGATTTGTATTACACATGACCTCTGCTCACATCGGATTCCCCTAAATCTACCAATTAACTCTGCTAAAAGGAACATGTTAAAACAGGCTAAGGAGAACAACCTGCCATAAGCAGGAACCATGACACAGGATAGTTATTGTAGGAAAGGGGCAATGAAGGTACAAAACATAGATAAATAGGTGGACAGAATCACTTAGCATCAGCTATGAGCATTTGCCAGACCAACTCTTCAGGCCTTTCTGTTACTATTGAACAAGCCTTGTTTAATCCCAGCTCCAATAAATAGGTCATACAGAACCCTAAATCTGCAATTTTCTTGTCTGTCCTCCAGTTCCAAGAGCTGGATCAGGAGCCAGATTTCAGCCAGCTTGCTATAGTTAGGAGAGATTTGCACAGCACAATGTCCATGTCAACTGGCTCAGCAAACTCACCTATTGCCAGAACTTCAGATGCCCCCATGGTCCTACTTCCACCACTAAGCAGTGGCTCCACCATGGCCCTTCGGCCTGAACATGTCAATGGCTCCAGTCATGAGTCAGCCAGACAATATCCATACATCCACTGGAGACCCCAGATTTACCTTGGAACCCAGAGTGGAGGCTCTTTCTCAGACTCACCGTAATACGTTCCTCCTTATCACTGATGCGGACGTTGTTCTTCTTCCAGGAGATGGTAGGCTCTGGGTGCCCTCTTGGTGGGATGCATTCCATCACAGCTGGCTCACCTGCTGCCACCACGACGTCACTGGGAGCCTGCCGGAAGTCATCTCTCAAGACTGCAAGAAAGGGAGACGGGTGTGAGCAGCTTCCCAAAGAGGATAGCAAGAGTGATCAGGAGGCCTTGGTGGGACCCCCAGCAATACATTCAAATTCTCTTATTCTGACGCTACTTGGCTATTCCATTGTCAAATTGCACTATAAATGAGCACATAAAGTAGAAGCGGGTACTGAGTACCAGTAAGGAAGGAGTCGACGTGGTACCTCCCATATTCTGTTTCGAGCCCTCCAGAGAGACAATGGGCTATTCTGCATCTAGCATTCGCTCTACATTTTCTCAACTGGGAGGGAGAACTGCAGCTCAAAACCATATTCAAATACCTTGGGGCAACGCCTACTGACTGCAAAGTTACCCCTGAATGGCCATAAAATGGCCATAAATCTATGCAGAAGGTACAATAAAATCCGACAATCAAAGAATTCGAAAGTGGCACGGGAGTGTGGAAGCTACCATAAAACCCGATAATCAAAGGAAGTGAAACCAGCATGAAATGCAGATGGGAATTTCTGTTCCAACTGTGGGTTTCATAAAACAATGGTGGGAAAAGCCAATGCAGAAT